TGAGTTGCAGGGGGCTGGAGGGAGGTCGCACCGCAAGGGAGCCCTCCTCGCGAGGGGCGCGTCGCGACCAAAACCTGTAGGCAGGCACGGCCTAACAGGCGTCGGGCTCCGAGTTGTGTGAGGCTGGAAGAGAGGGACGTGCAGCTGAGCTAAGAAGTGGAGACAAAGTCTGTAAGTTCAGTCGCGATAGAAAGTTTTAACAGCGTTATGCGTTTGATCCTGCTCATTTTTCAGTTCTCAGAGGCAGACGAAGGAGATGTAAGTTTCTCGTTGTCTCCATACATCGCTTTTATTTTTAACTCTTTGTCTGTGAAGAAGTTTAGGTATGATCTGTTTACGTGCAGCTGAGCTAAGAAGTGGAGACAAAGTCTGTAAGTTCAGTCGCGATAGAAAGTTTTAACAGCGTTATGCGTTTGATCCTGCTCATTTTTCAGTTCTCAGAGGCAGACGAAGGAGATGTAAGTTTCTCGTTGTCTCCATACATCGCTTTTATTTTTAACTCTTTGTCTGTGAAGAAGTTTAGGTATGATCTGTTTTCCTTTGACAGTAACATTTTTCTGTACAGACCCGGCTGCCTTGAGCACTGCCTTAGGCTATCTTGCTAAGTCTCTTTTCTTATCGTTGCAGTATGCTATTTGCCTTATAAAAGTTCTGCAGCAGTCTTCTTATGGTTCATAGTCTGAGCTTCATAGTCTGTAACGGTGCTCCTCAGCTCTCCATGGGGGTGTGTAAAAGAAGGATATAAATTGTAAATTTTGCCTTAAATGTCGGGATTGTAGTCTCTATTTTGTGTACTACCTGTATGAGTACACATGATACATTTTCCATTTCTACATGCCTCCTCAGGTTGGTTCTCTGTCATTCACAGACTTGGGATTGCTTTTGATAGGCAGAAATAATGTATGATTCTTCTAATGTTCATAGTTGTAATTGTAAGCAAAGGACAAATAACTGGATTTTCAGCATCAAGCCAATGTGATGAGACTAAGGAAGCCAACTATGTCTGATGCTACATTTGCATTCACTACCCAACTCTACAGGAATGAAGCAAAGGCTTTACAAACACAGGTATTATTTGACTTCTGCACCAATGCTGAATTGGTTTTCATTTGTGATTGTTACAAAAGATGATTATGGCCCACTTCCTGAGATGGCCCACTTCCTGAGATAGCCCACTAGTGAGTGTCAAATCTTCATACTCGCTTTCATGATGTGGTCATACATAATGACACTGTCCTTTTGTAAGGGTATAGATCAGAAACTACATCTGTAAATATTATTTACGTGTCTGTTGTGGTTTAATCCCAGTAGGCAGCTAAGCACACACCTGTTCGCTCACTCTCCCCTAGTGGGATGGGGAAGAGAATTGGAAGGGTAAAAGTGTGAAAACTCATGGGCTGAGATAAAGACAGTTCAATAGGTAAAGCGAAAGCTGCATGCACAAGCAAAGCAAAATAAGAAATTCATTCATTACATCCCATCAGCAACCAGGTGTTTAGCCATTTCCGCAACTTCATCGAGTGTAATGGTGACTTGGGAAGACAACACCTTAACTCCAAACATCCCTTCCTTCCTTGTCTTTCCCGATAGCTTTTATTGCTGAGCATGATATCATATGGTATGGGATATCGCTTAAGTCAGTTGGGGTCAGCTGTCCTGGCTGTGTCCCCTCTGAACTTCTTGCCCACCCCTAGTCTACTCGCTGGTGGTGTGGTGTGAGAAGCTGTAAAGGCCTTAACTCTGTGTAAGCACTGCTCAGCAAAAACTAAAACATTGGTGCCTATCAACACTATTCTCGTCACAAATCTGAAACATAGCACCATACAAGCTGCTATGAAGAAATTTAACTCTATCCCAGTCTAAACCAATACACTATCTTAACCTCTTACTTTACTATGTGGAAACAGAACTTAGAAACTTTATTCTGGAACCATGTTTCAGCTTTCCATTTCCATCATGTTACCTTTGTAAATTTAGTAATACCTTACTAAATAGGTATGATATAATCATACCCATTTATATTACTAATGTTAATTGTTGTTATAACTTGTTAATTTCATTGTCAGAACTCTTAAAAAAATCTTTATAAGGGCATTCATTTTCCATTGCACAGTCACTTTGGAGCAGATTTTTCAATGTGTGTACCCTCGCTAAAGTGCCCACCCTAAGTTGCAGATAAGCGTAAGATAAATTTACAAGATTATCTAAATGCTTAATTCAAAATGATTTTGAATACTGGCATTTGTCTGAGTGGACAGAATGTCTTGCATGCATTGAAGAAGTGCCATCATGACAGAATACATTCTAATATGAAAGAAGATCCATTTTCCTTACCTTTATACACTAGAGGTACATCACCTGTGTAAACTGTTCTGTGTAACATCAGCTTTTTTTTTGCACTTTGGAACAGCTCCAGTTTAATAGAAATGTTCCTGCAGTTGCAGAGAACTTGGCTCTCAGATTCTCGAACCCTCGTCCAATTATAATAGAAAAACTGAAGGCATCCAATGATCAGAGAAATCTAGCTGGAAGTCAGGACCCCGATATAAGAAGCTCTGGCATGTTTTCAGTGGTATCTGAAGAGAGACTAAAATTGGCTATTCAGCTAGCCAAAAGGGACATAAAACGAAGACATCTTGAGGAGCAAGTGAAACAGCAAGTGTTCAGAGATGCTGTCAATAAACCATTGTCGGCCCAGAAGTCGCAGCAGCAGAAGACTGAAATATTTGAAAATCCAGAAAATAAAAATGCACTGAAGTCTCAAACTCACTTGAAATATCAGCAGAAACTTGGTCAGCCTTCCAAAGTGGAGACTGCCACCTCTGGCGCTAAAGTTTATCTCTACACACCAAATGAGGGAAAGCTAATACCAGCTGTTTTGGACTCTCCACCTGCCTATGACACAGGACCAGACCCCAAGGCAAATGTAAACAAAAAACAAGATAGAAATATGCAGGAAGTCCAACGGCTGCAAAAGGAATTCAGGAGCTATGTCCAGAAAATTGAAGAACTGACTAAAAAAGGTGTAAGGCTGAGCAATAGTTATGTTATATAAATGTACAGTTTTTTGTTGATTTGTTTTACATTTTGGTTTTTGGCTTGGATTAGAATCCATATTTAGTTCTGGATTTTTGAGAACCATCTACTTTTTTCAAAACTAGATAAAAGCTAGAATGGCTAGCCAGTTTATACAATAGCAGGGTTTATTATCTCTGAGTGTTTGTGGTGAGTTCCAATGCAACCTGCAATGATAGTAAATTAGTGGTAGGCTATTTAATAACACAGATAAAAAAATATTGGTGTCTCTAGGCCTATTGGCTAGATATTCAAACTGCAAAAACAGTGTCATAAGTAACCACATTCTTATCAGTGATGAGAAAGGGGGCAACAGCTGATAAAATTTCATTTCACAAGTCTGACTCACCTAATTTATGGCTGTGCAGTAGCATGATTAATGTGGTTTCTGACACTGTTGTGGGCTAACCCTGGTTGGCAGCAGAGCGCCACATGCTTCTGCTCATTTCACCCCGGCAGGATCAGGGAGAGAATAAAAAGATTAAGAGCAAGAAAACTTAGGAGTTCAGATAAGGATGGTTTAGTAAGGGAACGAAAGAGGGAGAAGAGAGAAAAAACCAAAACAAGTGATGCAGAAGCAATCACTCACTACTTCCCACAAATAGACTCAATGCCCAGCCTATCTGTGAGCAATGACTACCTTCCCCCCAAAAAACTCAATTTTTTATTGTTGAGCATGGCGTGGAATATCCCTTTGATCAGTTGGGGTCAGCTGTCCTGGCTGTGTCCCCTCCAAGCTTCTTGCACACCCCCAGCCTGTGCACTGGTAGGACATAGTTGACAAAAGAGAAAGCCTTAGTGCTGTGCAAGAAGTACTGCTCAGCAATAGCCAAAACACTGGTGTGTTACCAACACTGTTTTAGTCATAAATCCAAAACAGCACCATGTTGGTGACCGAAGAAGACTAACTCCATCCCAGCCAGCCCTAGTACACACTGCATTGGTTCTTTTGTAATAACTAGCCAAAGGTTTAACCATTCCTAACTTTGAGTGCTTTACCTGCAACTTTATCATAAAACTAAGGGGTCACATGTGATTTTGTAAGCTATAATAATAAGCTATATTGTATAAGAATGTTTAGTCAAATTCTAAGTGGAAACATGATGTAGAGTTAAAATACCTAGGTTGCATTACTGCTCCAGGGAGCCCTGCAAAATACGTGATACATTGTGTATTGGGTCTGCATGAAAGAGGCTTACGCTAAATTATGTTTGCTATCATGCCTTAATCGAGATTTTCACAGGTTAAATTAAGACATAAGACATTACATTTCATGCTTTTTAGGGAGACACAGAGAAATTTTAGATCCTGATGAAGAGCAACGAATTTGCACTAGGAGACAGGAACAAGCTGCACGGTCAGCTCGGATGCTGTATGTGCTCCAGCAACAGGTAGGAACCATCATTTTAAATTGGGATGTATAATAGCTAGTTTATTGTGATGAATTTGACAGAAATGAACTGAAACAAGAGAAATTCCATCAGGTTATCTCTGAACTTCCATGGCATTCTAGTTTAGATCTGAACGGTACGACTCATTTCTCTCATGATGGGACAGAGAGATGAGCATCACCATTGGAAAATTTGGACTTTCACTCAGACACTACAGTGAAGATTAATTGTTCATTTATAGACATGGAGCTAATTCTGACTGACTTTCCACTCTCCCCCTCCTTTCTTGATAAACAGGTGAAAGAAATTCAGGATGATTTGCAGAAACTGAGTCCTCATAAAATCAAACATACTAAAAAGGTAAGATGTAATTATCCTTCAGGCTATGAGTAACTTATTGACAGAAAGTTTTCTAGCTAATTGAGTTTGATTGTCTAGGGTACAGCTGAGCCTTCTCCACAAGGGAGATTTTCTTTGTATCTTGCACCTTTCATCTCATTCTCACAGGAGTATGTGTCACTTGGTCTGATACTGCCTTTGCTGCTTCCCTCTTCTCCTCAGTTCTTATCTGTCTACAGAAAACTGGAGAGGAAAGCTCTTGGTCTTCTGCTTTTATGTGGCCTCTAATTCCTTCTTCATTCCACTTTTCTGAATGACACTGTGTTCTACTCTTGACTACTTTTTTTCACTTCCTGTTGATGTCACTCAGTCTTATCTGCTTCATTTCTGATTTTCTTCTCTACCTAGCATCTTTCAGAAAGATAGTACTGAGATCATGCCTACTGTTTGGCCAATATTGTCCCGTTGTTCTCTTGTGCTTTTCCATCACTTGTATTTTCTTCTGTAACAAAACCCGGAGGATGGAGAATGTTCTGTGTTTGTGCAGTTGTTGCACGTTAGGGTCAAGCCCATGACTACAGTACTCTGTTGGCATAGGTAGTAGAAACACCAGAATATGTTATAAGTAGGCTATTATATTAGAGGTGTTCAGAACATGTTTAGATGTGGCGCTTCGAGACATGGTTTAGTGGGCATGGTGGTGTTAGGTAGAAAGTTGGACTTGATGATCTTTGAGGTCTCTTCCAACCAAGTGATTCTATGATTCTATTTTATCTGAGGCTAGCATGACACTTGATATGAGTACTGTTGTGTAGTACCTTTAGTAGATTACTTAAATGCCTGTTTTGTTTTGTCTCTCAAATGACCTCATATCCATCAGAATTATCCCAAGTCTGAGTGTTTCTCCATGAATTTTTTGGCAACAATTCTTTGAATAGTATCAGTATTCATAGAAACTATACCTATTAAGGAATTTATTTTTCATTTTTCCAGTCTCGAGCAGTATCCAGATTGGCAGCAGCACACAGAGGAGCTGTACGAGCCTTGCAGGCATTTGCCAATCAGTTTACAGATCAAACAGAGCAGCAGATTCCTACCCACTACAAGGAACTGGGAAATCTCATTCGACAACTGTCTCTCTGTTCTGCCAAACTAGAAATGGATTCTTCCATCTCTGACATTATCATAGATATTTTGCTGCAAGTTGAGGTAGGAAAAAACATTTTGTTTTGCTAAGGCAGAAAAGATGTAGTGAAACATGAGACTGCAAACTGTATTGTGTGTTCATGAAATGGCAGAATCTCTTACTGTTGGTGTTTGGTTTTTTTTAAAGTCCATATTTTCTAATGTAGAAATAAGTTTCTAAAGTTCCTAAATAGTGGTGGTCCAAAATAGAGTTGCATCCTAAACACAGAAGCTACCTGCTACTGTTCTTGTTGATGCTGTTCCTGTCTTTATTGGCTGTCCTGGTAGCGTGAGGACTGGTGGTGATAGTGGTAACAAAGCACTAGTTTCTGATTCGTTTGCTATTTTCAGGACTGAAAGAATTGCATTTTATAGATCAATGTAAGTTACGTGTTTATTGTTTTGCGATGCATGCTTTAGTCATCAGGACTAGTGATGAGTATCTGAGCCTTGCACATGGTGGTGGGTGCAGAATTGTCTGGGCAGAAGATAAAGTTGTAGCTACAAGAGTTACTTAAGCTCTGTGCCCTTCAAATGACTTTTGTTAGTGATATCTGATGTCTTAAAACATGTTGTTGATATAATAGAAAACTTCTCATTCATGTTTCCTGCTGCAGTTCCTACCTACAAGATTTATTTTTTTTTTTAAAGTAAGAACCTCTGTAACCTGAACTATTATGGAACAAGTATTTAGTTCATTTGAATAAAAACAACTGATACAATAGCCATAAGATATTTTATTTTCCTTAAAATACTGTTCTAACTGTAAAAGCTGTGTTTTTATTTTTACTGTCCTGAACTGCTTATAAGAACAGTAACAGTGCTAACTGCCTGGCAATAGGAAAGAATTGTTTAAGTTTGGACTTAGCATTGGAAAAAGTGTCTGTCTGTCTTACCATAGTAATGTGGGCTTTTTTTTTTTGTCTGTACCCTTTCTTTTTGAACATGCTGTAAGCAGATAATTGGCTGGAATCAACTGTAAATACAAAAATGCAAGCCTTTTCTGTAAGATTTAAGTTAATAATATGAAGAAACTTATGCATGAACAAGCTATCAGGAATAATCACTACCACAAAAACCAAAACCACACCAAAAAAGTTCCAACTACTTAAAATCTCTTGAATTTGCTTCTCATTATTATATCAGGTTTACTGAGAGAGTAATTAAAGTTCTAAATATTTGGTGCAGGATCTGGATTCATTGCTGGAAAAGAAACAAACTCCCAAAAAAGTGAAGAAATGTATTTCATCATCTCAGGGCAAATCTCCAAGGAAGACTGAGACATTTCCAGCCAGAAAGCAGCTTACATCTCCAAAAGGAGAAAATAAACCTCTCATCTTAAAGGGACAGCATGGACAAGAACCTAAAAAACCTCCAACTGCCAGGAGTCTCTTGACTGGTTTGTATTTTGAATTATTAAATATATTTTTATCAGTTAACTTACCATCTGCAGTTCAATTTTGTAGTATGTTACGTATTGTTGGTGAGAAGCGTGTAACAGCCCATATGTAGTTATCAGATTCACATAGCCTTGTTATGCATTTTTTTCAACTGTTCCCCTGAGATGATAGACCTGCAGGTTTGTATGCCTCTTTATAACTATATTATTATTATCATCACGTTCTTCCGATTTTTGTCCATTTCTTTTACAATGGGCTACACTTGGACTGTTTTTTTTGCAGTGTACACCTAAATGGCAGTTTACACGTTGACATTAATGGTGCATACAGAATATTTCCAAATATCTACCTAGATAATACTGTATAAATATATTATTTTGGAATGCAAAGGCACTCACTGTTAGCAAATCTCCAACAAAGCTATCGTGGTTTAACTGTTTACAGTGAAAAGGTATACTGAAGCCTTGGCTCAGAATTTCCTTGGTTTGTGCAGTTTCTCTGCTTTTGGGAGGGGTGGGTCTGTTTTATTCTTGCCAGTTCATTAATGTTAACGTCTTCTGAACAGTAATCACAGTCTCAGTACCTAGAGACACGTTAACTGATAGTTAAGCTGAAGGCTTTGGCTTTTTTCACTACTAGTTTGCCATGCAACCATTGGGAATTGGTTTACTTTATTGTTCTTTTACTTCATATATGAAAGGAAATGGGCTTTATTCTTTCTCAAGGTATTGTGAGATAAATTTACCACCTGAAGTATTCTGACACCTCATGAAAGCTATTATAGCTTATTACATTATTATATAAGCTACAGTAATTGTTTTTCTTCTTTGGGGTGTCTTTCTCATACCTCATACTGGTTTTTACTAGAATAGTAAGTATTGCTTTCTACCCTTAGGTAAGGGTGAGAAGAATTCTATGAGATGAATTTGTCTTTGGCAGTCCAGCGAGACAGTATATTAACGAGCATCTAATGGTTTCCACGTGTCTTGCTACCTAAAAAAGAATGTGTTCTTATCATTGCGTAGACCTCATATGGCAATTACTACGAAAAGGCTTTCCCATGAGTTTCATATATATGTATATTTTCAAATATCGATATACATAGAAATTAGTATATGCATACAAAACCCAAAATCTCCTGTTCATTGAAACAGTTTAAGAAAGACAATTTATTTAATACTTGTCAGGAAATACAAGTTTGTTGGTTTTTTTTTTTTCTTTTTTTATTTGATTTATTTTTAAATTATGGTAGAGCTTAAATGTTCATAATTAGGTATACCTAGCATAACAGAAGTATCAAGTGTAGAAATAAAGATGATTCTTGCCACTTTCACCTTACAGTTGAAAGTTTATTTTTGATACAGATAAACATTGACATGTTGCAAATATTTCAGCAGTTCAGAAAACAAACAGTTGTGCTCATATATTGCACAATAAATTCCAAGAAGAAAATGACCTACTTACTCCAGAGAGAAATGCCACTTTACAAAGAAGCATAGATGCATTGGTGAGAGGTAGAGCTGTAAAAAAAGATCGCATCCTTGAAAATGGCCCTTTGAAGAAGAAAGGCATGTTATTACCTGCAAAATCAGAGGTATGGAAGTGATAAAAGAATTTATGCTTACTTCTACTTGTCCTTTGGGATTTGTTATACAATGTAAGACATGTCAAGCTTTGCACTTCCTCACAATTTTTTTATTCTGAGCTAGGAGGCATAGGGGGATAAACTTTCATCTGCCGACATTATTTCTAGTGATTATGACTATTTTGTCAAATATTTTTTGAGAGTAGTGTTATTGTTCCTTGGAAATGCACTGTACAACTAGAAACAATGAATAACAGAATTAGCAAGGAAAATTTTCACCAAAACTAGTTTCATGTTTGAAATTAGCATTGTTATTTTTTCAACTTGAAATTAAAGCTGAAATGTTTTCCTCTTATTGATCGTCTTCTGTGGTGAAAAATGCACTCAGCAGTAATGTTGTGCTAATGCTAATGTTTGTAGGAGGATAGAAGTTAGGCATATTTACTCCATTAATTATGACATTATAAAACTTCACATTACAAATTCTGGTTTCTGCTAAGTCCTTCTTGAAACCAGCAAGAGGCTTTTGTAATGCAAACAAGTGAGTTCTTTAAAGAATATTTCAGAGTGTTAAATTTTGCAAATAGTTGGTTTTTTAATTAAATGCTTTTTTTTCCCCCCTTCCTCAGAGTATCACCTTCAGCTTGAAAAATCAGATCTGATACAGTAACATAAATGTATGCATATGTAATTTTCATTGCTTCCCATATCTATCTATCAGTGAGAATTGTGAGCAGGAAGGTTAAGCATAGCGATAATTCATACTGAGGGGACTAGTCTAAGTGTCCTTGTAGCAAATACAAATATGGCAATATTATAGTTTCATGACTGAATGAAATGTTACTTTGGAAACCTTATATTTGGATTTAATAAGAGTTAACATAGAGTCTTCATTCTGAAAATTTCAAAAGAAGTTTTTCCCCATGAAGAGCAACATTGGAAAAATTGAAACTGTTTGCAAAAATAATAGTTGCAGGATTAAGCGTATGTTCTGTTCAGGCAGAGTTGTACTTCCATTTCAATCAGTTGTAAAATCTCCACACGTGTCAACTGTGCAACAAAGCCAGCAGGCATGACTTCAAGACAAATTCTGAAGCAGAATGCAAAATACTTTAAAAATTCAACAACTGGAATATATGTTTTTAATGTGATTGTGTTAATTTTAAGGGAATGCCAAAATCTCTAAAATCAAGACAGGTACAGCCACAAGGAAAGCATGCTCGATTTCAAGAGGCAACTATAGCTTTCCAGCTAAAAGAGAACAAACGACTTGTGAAGGAGAGCAGAATACCCTGTGTGCCTCCAAACCCTACATCTCCACCTGTTTCACCTAATCGGTATGTTCACAGTCTAGTGGAACCTGTCTTTACCCTGCTTTCCTGTGGGAACGCTGCTGTGTGTGTACTGGTAAATACGATGGGTTTGGCCTAGCTATCAGACCATGAAGGCAAGTGGCACAGCACGACTCGCTACAGGATAGTTGTATTCTTTTCCTGCTCGGCACAATGTGGCCTCATTCATACAGCCTGGGAAGGGCCATTGCTTTATGCTTTTTCCTGGATCAGGTCCAAGTATTGTCTGAGAGTCACAGGCCAAACTGTGGTAGGCAAAGCATTGACAAAACACACAGTATGCAGAAGGGATATTCACAGCACTGCATTAAGAAGGCAAGTATTATCTCCCTGTTCCAGAAGGACAAAATGTGTATCTTTGTCCTAGCCAGTAATACGAGTGCAGGTTTGTTTTATTTTAAACTATATTCAGCATCCTGTAGACTAGGGCTCCTCAAATTAATTTGCTTTAGGACTGCTGTTTGTGGCAATTGAAGCAGGAGATTCAACTGCTGATCCAGCTGCTGGATCTATGCTAGGCAGTGTGCATGGTAAGATAAGGAGCTTGTCGCTCTGGGCAGTATTTGTAGATAGCCATGAAGTTGCCTGTTTGCCAGTAGCAGAAACATAATTGAAGATCCCTGGTTCTGAACAGAATTTCCTGGTTTATATGGTCTTAAAAGTCAGTATTAATTTTCTCACTAAAGTTTTTTGCAAGTTTTCTAAACTAATACTCAGAATCACGTGATTTCATTCTTCAGTTGTTAGAATGCACATTTTGTAACCCTCTATGTTACTGTTTTATTTTTGAAGACTAGCATGTCTTGAAGCAGAAGCTTCAAGAAGAGTGAAGGTACTAACTGACCTGAGCAGAGGAGAAATGAAAAAAATACAAAAGTTAAGGTAATGACTTACTTTGAAGACCTTATAGATGGAGTCAGATCTGATATGGTCTTCCCACCAGTCCCCCAGAAAGTACATTTATCTGTTTGGGTTTTTAAAATTATTGGTGTGATAACAAATTTCAGAATGGCATTGTCATTTGTTCTTTTTTGTGTAGGTCACACAGTGCTTCTCCAACCCAGAATACAGACAAAGTTGAGAAGGCAGTACCGGAGTGCTTAAAACCTCTATTAGATAGGACACAGGTAGTATAGTCAAGTTCATGCCACTGTTTGAAGGATGCCTGTAGAGCTGTACAACATTTATAAAGGGGCAACAGAGAGTTTCTTTTCAACTTAATGCAACTTGTATTTATGTAGTCAACACAGTTTTGGACATTTGAACATTCCATTTCAGTATGTGGGTCTTGAATTATTGTAATGAAGTTTGGCAAAGCTGCATTAAAATTTTTGGTTAGCTTCTGGTCAAGTATATGCATTTTTAAGTTGTTTTTGAATGGTCACAACAGTTCCATGCTGCGCATGACTGGACTTGATAAAATTATTTTAATAATTCTTATAATATCATATTTAATGACTACATAAATTTAGACCGGTAATATTAATGACTAGTAATACAGAAAGCTTCCTTGTCATGAGAGGATTTACGTTTTACTTAGAAGATCAATCTCTCCTTGGAAACAAACTGTCATTTGAAGGATTCTTCATTTATAAACCACCTTTTAACTCATGAAGCTGAGAGGGTATGTTCTGTCTGTATGTCATAGAGTAAAGCTGTTTGACATTTGAGATGGTTTTATCTTTGCCATATAGCAGAATGCAACTGGAAGAGTAGTACTGATTTCCCGAACTTAGCAATTTCAACTTACATAAGCCACATCTTTAAAACAGTGTCATTGTATGGGCATGTATGCCTTCTGAAGTATTGTTTTGTAACCATATACAATATGAAACAATGAGAAAATTCTTTCTAACGTCATCTCTTTTGTATACCTTTTGCTTGATGTGACCTCAAATGCATAAAGTTGCTTAGGGGGAAAAATGTTTTCATATAAAATAATACAGGTAAATTAATAGTGATATCATACCATGGCTAATTGGTAAAATTGGACACAACTGAAACCTATGGCTGTGGCCTGCATCCTGTATATTTACTCATCACCACCTGGAGCTGCTGTGAGACTGTTCCTATATGTCAAATGTGTGTGTAGTGTTTTGTAAGATGAGGGCCTTCACTTCACTTTCTTGAATTCCTGGGTGATCTCTGAACCTGTGACAGTTTCGTCTTCAATTTGGGAACATGGTTCTGTAGCAAGCTTTTTCCATATTCAGTGAATTTATTGGTAGGAACATACTAAGCTGTTTTTATTGATTTGGCTTATTGTGTGAGTGGAAGGAAGACAGGAATTTATGTGGATTTTCATTGAAGGGAAAAGTTGAAATGACAATGGGATTATTTCCATGAGCTGCTGTAAGAAATGTTTGATATGTAAGCATTTATGCCCCGCAGTTGTTTTGAGCTTTTTTTTTTCTTTCTCTCTAGCATGGCTGTGTGGGTGTTGTTGTTGTTGTTGTTGTTTTATGTTTACAATAGGAGGTTGCAGCAAATGCAGATGTTCTGAGTGAAAAGCTATTGGATGATCTTCTGGAAGGCACTGATCAGGAACTGTGGAGTATGGAGCAGCATGAGAGACTCCAGACCGAGGCTCTGCCTATGGCTGACATTCATGGTCTGGAGTCAATGTTGCAAAGAATGGAAGAAATTGAAGTAAGATTTTTCTCTCTTAAGTGGTCTCATTTGTGCCAATTTCTTGTTTATTGTCCATAAATTGTAACATCCGTAACTATCTACATTCTTAAATGAAGCAAGGTCTCACTGGATCAGTGTATTAAATGAAAGATTTGGAAGGAGTTTGCACTTCCAGCAAAACATAGTATAAGAAGAATGTTTTCCCTGATGGTTCTATTCCTCTCTTTAGAGTTGGTAGACCTGAGTTTTTTTTCCCACCTCAAGACTTTGTGGCTTAGATCATCATATGTGAATGGGATAATCAGTATGGTGATTATGTTGATTGTCTGACAGATTGGAAAGTATTTGAATATTTATGAATTTAATTTTTTTTTAAATTTTTTTGTGATATAGGATCCTAGTATTCTAGTAGCATGAGCATCTCAAGGAGGTATGCTCTGGCAATCCAAAATACTTTACAGGACAACATGGGGAAGTCAGACAAATATGTGGTTATCTGTGCCCTTATTTATCCATCTTTCTGTGTAAATATTGATGAGGTTATCATTTACTTGACTTGAACTTTCTCATATATTCCTTGCTTAAAAATTTTTATTTGATCAGCTTTTCCATAGTTTTTGGTTCAATCCCCATTTCAACCTTCCTGTTCAGTGAAATTTACTGCAACTTAGAACTACTGAGTTTAGTGCCACTTACTTCTCAAGATCTATTCTTAAGTTGGAAGGATGAAGCTTACATTGTGCAGTGTCCTTATCCATATGAGGCACTGAAGCATACATTTGAATTCACTGTTGGTAAGGCAAGAACAGCGTGAGGGCCCTTCAGTTGTTTGACTAACTGCTGTCGATCTGAAACGGGAGGAATTGCCATGGTACTGGCAACTAGTTGAGTCTTCAAGTATGACATTTTGAATGAGATTACTACCTGTGTTTTCACCCCCCTACCCCTTTTCTGAGTTATGTTAACTAGGCAAAATAAGCCTACTTTGACCAAGGAAGATCATGACCTGCTTTGCTATTGGGTGATAACTAGTACAGCTGAACTGCCAGTTATGTGTTGATTGATTAATTGTGTATGTTCAAATCCAGAGATACCAGGAGGTTGTACGCAGGAGATTCACCCAGATAGTGTACAGTGATTCAGAGTTCTGGGCCCAGGAAGACAAAACCAGTAAGTGTCTTTTTAATGCAACTTGTTTTTCCTGTAATCTATATCTTTAAATTCAAATGTTTTGAAATCAAAATCATTGGATTATGTGTGATCAAACAGCACCATCCAGACACATTTTTTACTATAGGTGCTCCTTTCAGAGGACTGTTTCTAAAATATAGTTCTAAAATCAATGTTTTAAAGAGAAAGGATCTCTTCTGAGAACAGGCTGTCATTTTCTACTCGCCTTTATTGTGTCTGTGTTTGGATGGAAAGCACTGCTAGTGCTACTTAGCTGAAGGATAGGAGTCTTGAAAAGAGTATTTAGTATGTTCTCATTTGACTCGATTCCTTTGAAACACCATTAATTACTTAGCAGTAATCATTTTCATGCTGATGAATTCAAAACTATTCTTAAGAGTTCACAGACTGAGGTAAGGTATAGCGAAACAGTCTCAGTTTGTTCCTGCTGTTGATTTGCTTAGGCAGGAGCAAGCAGATATTTATCTTCTAGTTTGCTTCTGCCATTTTCTTTCCTTTGTTTTAATAAACTATCAGTTTAAATGGCTTAGAGTTCAAGAGTAGATGTTAGGTAAATATTAGTGTAGCAGTGAATCCATGACAGTTTAAGGTTTTTCTGGCAGTACACAGAAGATAGCACTAAATTACTTAAGCTTTGAAGATTTTTCTTTCCTTATTCCTTTCAAGTGATGATGATACTGGTTTTAGATCTTGCAGCATAAATGCAAGTTTAATTTTTATAGCCTCAGAAAATCTGGGTTTGTCTGTACAGAATTCATTATCAAATGCTTGTCAGCAAAAGTATTTAATCCTTGAAAAAAAACAGTTTGTATGCTTCCAGTTCACATTAATCACATTTTTCCTGCTTGTGTTTATTGGATAGAAAACAAATGAAAGAATGTGAAGTCCTCCAGATTAAAGATATAACTAACTTTTAAAATTAAATTTTTAATTGAGGGGGACCTAAGTAATATTAGTAGGAAATTGTTCTCTAAAGGTTGCATTCCAAACAATAGTTTGATGTTTCCCATACATAAGCATACATACTTTAATATTGTTTGCCACAGTAACATGCTGATAATGATGACTTATGCTTGTTTTTTTTCCTATCCCCTTGATCTGTTCTTTATCCTACTATTTGATTGAGTACAACAGTGGAGCTACACTGATTTTCCAAGCTGAGTATCTGATCACATACTGACTTTAGTGGAACTGTGTTGTTTTACACCAGTTGGAAAATCTCACAAGACTGGTGAAGACTTGGCCCAAATCTTGTTGGATATTTTTTTCCATGTCTTGGATTTACTGCCAAGCTTAATAGACTACACTAGTTTTAGAGTGGTATTTTCCATCTCTCCTCTAGAAGTATCCACTGACACAACTATTTACGCTAAATCTAAGATTTCTAAAATGCTCAGCTTTAATACACTGAGATCTGGAAATCCTATATTGAATTTACATTTTAGGGGCTTGTCGCCTTCATACTTTATTTACCTGAAGGACTTCCCCTTAAAAGAAGCAAAAGTCTTTGTGAGGACTTACCTGCAGTAAATGTAGTTTTTCTCTTCCAAAGAAACAATTTTCATTGTTATTTTCTTCCTTCTAGAACAACAAATTACATCAATACCTAAAAGACCTACATCTCCTCATCCAATTCAGATAACCAAATTAATCGGACGCACAGAGCCAGAAATGGACATTTTATTTGAAAAACTTTTTGATGGCAAGTAAGTAGAATATTCAACCCTATGCTAAACTGTGGTGCGTATGAGCTGTGTTGTCTTCATTATAGTGTTTTCGTTACAGAAAATTATGGTTACTATTTGAAGACATTTTCTGATCCTTCAAAAACATACTTGAAAATCTTGTTCTGGCTTAACGGCTATTTTATATTTCCAGTGATATTGATGAAAACAAAGAAGCGGAGGAGAAATTGCAGACTGGAAATGACATTCTGCAACCCTTAACGAATTCTCTACAGAAAGAGTGCTGTGTGTCTCTCTCTGTGCCAAAGCATATGCTCCAGAGCATCTTGGATTATAACAGCAGATACGAGCATCACTTAAAGCTTATTTCCCATGAGGCGGTAGGCAGTTTCAATCCATGGCAGATTGCTCAGAGGTATATGAACTATTTTTGTGTTTTTGAAGTGAATGCATCAGCTGACGAACAGGTTTTTCTGTCCTCATTCGGGAAAGGAGTGGGGAGGGGGCCATTTAAATTCCCAACTGAAAGCCAGAAGCAATTGATTAATGGACCGTTTCTCTACTGGTGCTTGGTGTTCATGGATTTTTAAGGTAGTTGGATAAAATGAAAGGATATGTGAGCAGAATGTCCTAGCGGAGTGAGTAATTTTCACATCTTTCTATGGTGTTACCACAAAAACAACTGTGTGAAATATAGAGTAGCTTAAATTATTTTCAGAAGACTATCATCAACAGGTAAAGTGAAGGAAAACAAAATTAACTTTTTTTTTTTCCCCGAGTGAAAAAGAAGTAAGCACTGTAAATAACTGTGCAAATTTTAATATTTGTGGTGAGGGGTTATGAAGTTCATGTTTCATGGAACAACAGTAGATACTCTTTTAAAAGACACCACTGGCCTTAGCACAGATTTCAGTGCTTTCTCTTCCACAAGTCTTCGTGCTTCATGGAGTTCATTGTGGGAAGTGTGACATAGGTGGCTTACCGTTCTTTAATACAAATAGAAGAGGTGAAGAAGCAATAAGTAACAGTCTCTCTGCTGTTCACTTCCTGACAAAGTTTGGTCTTGTAAAGTCCCAGCCCCAAAAAAGCATGGAAATACAGGCTGAACTTGAACCTTGCTAGTACTGTTCTTTCAGAACTGAAGAAATGCTGGCACAACATCAGTTTGCATAGGGAGGCTGTTAATTCCCTGCAGAGTGGAAATCAGATGACTTCTGACTATGGGAGGAGAGAAATGAAAGAAGAAAACTCTAGAGTATTAAGAAAGAATTACAAAATCTAACTTCAGTGGTTGTAGATGGAGTGATTTGCCATAATTGTCTATATTGGCAGATCGGACATCAGGCTTAATTGCTGAGAGTTTTTAAAGTTTTGCACACGTTTTTAATGTAGGAGCATTGAAATCAGTGATATAGCTCATTTGAGTCACATTTGGCATCTGCATCAGTGTTTCCAGGAACAGGTCCTGCAATATTTGAGATGACTTGCATGCAGGAAGTTACTCATGTGTGTTGATGGTTTGCCCAACTGTGGATAAGTAGGCAAATGTTTTAATAACTGTGGTTAGACCACTGTATTTGAATCAACTGAACTAAACCACTGAAATATGCCTTGTCAGTTCTCAGTACTGTCATTCTGCCTTCTGAACTGTATTCCTTTTTATAATTGATGTGAGGCTGGATAGGTAAGGAGTGGCACCTTCCTGCGATTGGCAGATGGATTAAATGGCAGCGAATCTCTCCTCCTGACAGCTGAATTCCACTGCTGCCGTTTACCTGATACATGTTACTTGAAATCAAACTACAAATACAATCTGATATCCAGCGTGCTTCATTGACTTATTCTTACCACCAGAGGGCATTAGAAATCTTTTTACATAAAATAGTATCACACAATGTTTAAAAGAAACACTCCCATGCTGTGCTCAAAAGATCTTAGAAAGACTAACTTTATGATATTTTAGAATATATGCAAAAGTGAAGAGAAGTTTTCAAGAAGCCAGTAAACAATTGTGTTCTTACAGTAAAATAGTTTTCCCTTCTGTAATGTCTGCTATGGTCCAGAGATCACTGAAAATTGAAATTTCTCGTCTTGCTTTTCCTTAAACTTTATTGCTCTCAGTAAGGCCTGATTCAGTGGCAGCTAAAATCAATAAGAAGCTTCACATTTACTTCAACGGCCTTTGGATGAGCACTAAAGTATGTTAACTCTTATTCCCAAAGCAGGATTAGTATTTAAGAGTTTGAAAAAAAGAAGCAACTGAGATCTCTCAACACTTTTAAACCTGAAGTATGTCCTTTGCTATTAACCAGACTGAGGAAAGAATTTCTGATATCTTATACAACACATATCAGAACATATATCAGATCTTTTCTTGGGCGAAGCAGTAGAAAGAATGAAAAAACATCAGTATTTGCCTTTTAAAATCAGACATTGGTATCAATGGAATGAATGACTAGAATTTGAAATCCGACTTTCTGAACCATTTCCTTTTCTTTTTTTCCCCTCCTTCTCCCTCAGTCTTGCAGAGCAACTAACCGAAGAAGCCCTATGTGATGTGGCAGCAGAGCTGCAGGATGTCTGTGAAGATTATGCAGAAGCTGTGTTCACATCAGAGTTTTTGCAGCCAGCGCAGTAAATGCTTTCCAGTCTGCCCCATTATCAAATGCAACATCAGTCTCCGTCTAACAGTCTTATCAGATGATCTCATTTTTCATGTTTTCTTAAAAGTCTGTGAGATTCTGTTCACCAAGTGAATTAAGTCCATTGTGAATTCATCTCAGGTTTTTATAAAACCATTATCATAATGTTTTCCTTTTCAGACTTATACTGTGTTTATCAGGATTTTTTTTTTTTTCGCCAGTGTTTCAATAGAATGAAGTAAACTGTTAGAGGTAAAGTTTCTATATTTTGATAGGAATAACGATCCATTTGTATACCTGTATTACTTCATTCATTTTTATGTGTGATCATCTTTCTAGAATAAAATACTGGGAGGAGGACTGGGTTCAAGCAGTGTCATGGACTTAGCTGTACTCTGCCTCAATTTTCTGCTTTAAAATGGAAAGAATATGACTTACCTACCTCATAATGGAGCTATGGGGTTTAGTTTATTCTTCTCAGTAAAATGCATTGAATATACCTGATAGTTGTGTTGGAAGAATGAAGCATTATTGATATTTCTACAGCCAAGATGGAACATTCCAGAGTAAAAGCTGTATGGTTTGCTCTTTAGGGCTTTCAGTATCATGTAAGAAAGATGTTGTCTGACCACCATGCTTAGCATATATACTAAGATTAGTTCTTTTGGAGATGTGGCTATCCAAAGGAAGGATTCTCAAGGCACGGCATTAAGTAGATGTAAACACTTAGCATTGGCTGCATAGGCCAACAGCTTGCTTGGACTTTTGCAATCAGCTTCTGAATGTAGTACCTCTTCTGTTGGTTTCTGAATATCACTAGTACATTATGCACAGACAAATGAGACCTTTCAATAGAAGCACATCATGGAAATTTTCTTCTTTTTTTTCTTAAACTAGTTTAAAATATTATAATTTTATTAGCATGTAGTGATCCCACCCCATGTGCCTTACTCTTAAGAATCCCATTGAAATCAAGAACAACAAAATAAATGAACAATTGGCATTTCTGCAGTATTGAATTAATTTGTTTGTTTCAAGTAATCAATGTACTGGTTTGGGTTATGTTTAGAGTGAGCAATAAGTAATAATTCTTTATGGAATTACTGTAGGGAAAAAAGAAATGCAAATTCAACCCCTGAGGTAGCCCAAAAACCAATATGATAGTCTGTTTCCTTTGACAAGTTTCTTCTCTCCAATAGTGTTCAACCTATAACAGAATCATTTTTAATCTTCAAAGATTATTTTTATTTCCTCTAATTAGAGCATTTTAAAGATAATTTTGTTTTCATAGAAGCCTGGTTTACTGTTTTGTTTGTCTTGAAATTTACACCAAATGTAATAATGTAAATGTTACTGCTGATGTGTGATTTCTGTAATTTAAAACACTATCTTTTTTGTTTCTAAGGTGATAGAAATAAGCCTGGTTTTAAGTCCAAAAGATTAAAGCCATAGTGTCTCTATGTATGTGTATATATGCTTGTGAAAGTATTTTCAAGATGTTTTATTTTTTAATAAACAACACTTGTTTCTTAGGACTGAACATAGTTTTAATTTAAGGTAACTTCCATTTGAAGCCATTTGGAATAGTCAGGACCCAACATGCAAGGGAGTAACTGGCAACATTACAAGAGTCAGACTACCATATGCCTTGAAGTAACGTGGTCATCTGTCAAGGTAAACATACTTTCTCTCTTAAATCCCATGGTGCTGTGAGTGGTATTCTCTGACTGATGATGCCAAAGTGAACTTTCATTCTGGATGAGAATTTTGTGGCATTTGGGTGCCTTCTTGGAACAGAAATGTGTGGAGAGTGAAGGCTTTAGGTAGGATCCCTCACTTCACACTCTTCAGTCCTTCCTAAGGAACTTAACTAAAGGATTTTGTAATGCATTATTTACACATGCAAGCTAGACAATTATGAAGTTTCCTCCCTGAAAAATTTCATAATTGTAGGGCTTCATCTTAAAGTGACTCTGCATGTCATTGTTTCTAAGGGACAAATCAGCATCAAGCTGGATAAACATTATACATGTGCATAATTCTTGTCACAGTATGTTGATAGAGACTATATATGGGGCTGAAGTGTGCAACCATAATACCACTGCAATTGTTAACTATGCATCTAATGAGACATCTTAACTGGCCATGCACTTATTTAAAGCACTGTCATGCATCTGAGTCTATAATTCTTTAAAGCTAAGCCATGGGGGAGTACCAGAAGCATTTGCAGATTTAAAAAGTATTTTAATGGTGTAGTGAAGAATACATTTTCTTGGAGACTGTACTGTTT